CAAGAGAGGAAAGACAAAAGTAAGTAGCACAGTTTAGACAGCTCTCTCAGCCTCTGGAAAGGAGGGCTGGACTCCTGAACAGCCTTCAAGGAGACTTCATTGGCAGGAGACTTGGGGCACAGGTCCAACCAGCCTCTATCTTTAGAGGTTCCTCCCATCACTTCTAGAAAGGGACAAGGAGGCCTGCTGTGGGGTAGAGATCTGGGCTCCCACAAAGAGCCAGTAACACAACCTAGAAGTCAGGGTGAGTTAATTCCCTAAGGGACAAACTTCAACCAGTGAGAGAGACACAGGAAGAAAGTGGCAGAGAAATTCCTCTTTCTCTTGCAGACAGAATGCACCATAAATGAAATGGACACCATAGATGAGATGATGATGTAAGTTCTGTCTGGAGGAAGTTCTGGTGCCCAAGCAACCATGTATGTTTATTTGTTGGGGTGCAGCCATCTCATAACTCACAACCTTGAATTTATTTTTCCTTTTTTTGTCTTCTCTTTTCCTTTCAAAAAGTTCTGGGATTACAATTTCCCATAAAGTCTTGGCCTACAATCTTTGCCTCAGGCTCTGTTTTATAGGGAATCCACGCAAAAACAAACACCATTGAACATTTTGGGGATTCAAATCACTGTTCCTGAACTGTGTGTGGGGCCTTCAGTCTCTGCAATGAACTCAAGGGGCGCTGCAGGATATTTGAAAAATTTGAGGGAAATGCGGTGACACTCCACATCTGTTAAACACCATGCAAACTATTAATTTAATGTTGACAGTTTCAACATTGGATCATGCTGCATTCTTTTGTGACATCATCATTTTGGCAAAGCTGGGTTTTCAGTGGTTGCTCTTGTAAAAAGCAATACCATGTGAAAACCAGTGTGAAACAGGAAATGAGGGTGGCAGGGTCTAACAGGATCCCAAGGTTGGAGAAGTTATGCCATGCCCATTACTATCTTGTTATTAAGTAATTGTGGCTATTTAAGAATGAAATACAAATGCTTTTTTTTCTGTCAACTTATGTGTATTATGATTTTTAGAACAGCTACTAGAGTTGTTGAAGCATACACAGTTATTAAATTGTTAGCACCTAACTACCTAATAAACATAAATATTAGGTTCTTCTTTTGGCCTAGAGGTCACAGGAAAAATAATTACTAAGGTTCCGTGAACTGAAAAAGCTTGGGAACCTCTGAGGTAGAGTGCTCCAGGTGGCAAAAGTAGCAAGTATAAAGGCTGGGAGGCAGGAATAAGCTCAATCTGGAAAGTTCCCTTTAGTGACAATATTTTCATAAGCTCTATACCCTTAAGTTGGTCTATAAATAGCTGAAATTCTAAAAGTGTGTGTTTGTGGTTTATATGTTATTTGCTCTAAAATAACAAAAGCATGACTCTGTGTTATTTCCTAAAAATGCCTGATCACTATGTGCATTTAAAAAATGTTAGACACAATGTTCTCTTTATTACTGATCTTGCAGCCTTATCTAAATGTAAAAAAAATTTCTTCTTTCTTTAAAACTTCATGCTTGAAATTTTTTTAATCAGACTTAGAATTTAGGACACTCAAGTTTGGTATTTAAGACTGGGATAATACCCATTTTAAAGAATGAACAGTAATTGATAACAGAAAGATGAGGTAAAAAGCCCACCTAATTGGGCATGGCTTTGTGTCCAACGATGAAAATGGTGAGGTCTGGGATTAGAAGTGGGATGGTTCAAGATACCCAGAGAAGCTCATTTTCTTGTTTGGGTTACTGAAAATCATTTGAGATACATTTTTAAAAAATATTTTTTTATTGATTTTTAGAGAGAAAAGAAGGGAGAGGGATAGAGAAATAGAAACATCAATGAGAGAGGAACATCATCAATCAGCTGCTTCCTGCACGGCCCCTACTGGGGATTGAACCTGCAACCAAGGGACGTGCCCTTGACCGGAATCGAACCCAGGACCCTTTAGTCTGCAGGCCGATGCTCTATCCACTGAGCAAACCGGCTAGGGCTGAGATGCATTTTAAACCTGTCAATTTCTTCTCCTACAATTGGAATGCTTCTGACCCATTTCCAAGGAGTCCACTTTTTAGAGTGAAGGTAACTAAGAAGTTGTATAAATAATTACAGGTTGCTTAGTGACCATTGAAAAACAAAAACAAAAACATGCCTAAAAGGACAAATGATATTTTAAGTAACTCTTCAGAAGGCCACTCACTGCAAAAATTTATTTGACTTAGACTGGAATTATTGTGATTCTCAGTTGTAGGGTCTCCTCTCTGTTTTAAATTCAGGTGTATCTTCAAAATGGTCATTTCTTTTTTACCTAATTTTCTTTTGTTTAGTTGATTTTTTGTCGGCACACTCCAAATATGCAAATACACACCTGATTGGTGCAGCTGCTTTCCTGTTAGGCTGGGAGACATTCTGTCTCCTGTTGGTATGCATTGATTTAATCAGGCAAAACCTCAAGATTCTAGCTCTGGCCACTTAACTCGGAGAGTCACTGTTTTCTTAAGTATTTTTCTTGAAATATTATATTTACAGCCACCCTCTTTTTTTTTTTCTATAAATGGTAGCAAACTAAATATGCTGAATCCAGTTTTTCTCTTCCAGTTTAACATTTCTGAAATTGTTTTATATTAACATGTATCAATTTACCTTATTCTCTTAAAGGCTGCAGAGAATTCCTTTGTTTGGATTAATAATAATTTAGCTAATTAATTCTATATTAATAAACATTTAGGTTGTTTTCAGTCTTAAATTTTTGTGTGTACATCTACAAGGATATCCTAGAAGCAGAATGGCGAGGTTAACTAGGTTGCACATTTTAAATATTGATATATATTGCTAAATTTCACAGCAGAGAGACTGTATCAAACAATGCCAACAATTTGAGATACTGTTGATTTTCCTACCCCATCACCATTAGCATCTATTATCAAACTTATTTTTTAAAAATGACATCTTATTATAGTTTAAAATTGAATTTCTTTTGAAATAAGTGAATTTGAGTATATGTTTATATGCTCAAAACCAGTTATATTTCTTTTCTAAGTCAATAAGCACTTTATAATGGCCTACAATGTGCACAATTATTATGCTAATCACTGGGGGACATTGTGATAAACAACACGTAGCCTCCCTGCACATGGGGGAGAGACAGACAAGTGACCCACAGTTGCAGTGAATGAAGTTTAGTGTAATGGTGCAAGGGAGGCCTGTTCTCTGCTCACCCATCACTGTCCCGAAGGAGATCAATGGAGGCCTCTAATGGGGGAGGGGAGACATGTACACTACAATCTGATGGAGGTGTAGTAGTTAGCTGGGTGATATTAGGAGTGGGAGGAGGGTGGAAGAGGACACAGCAGACCCAGGCATGAAAGATGAGAGCAGAGAGAGCAGGGACTCTCTGAACTTGTAAGGAGTCCAGTTCAGAGTGGCACCATTGAGACTATAGGAGGGGGAAGTGGGCAGGGCTGGCACATCATCCATTAATGTGACCTCGAGATCAGTTAAGGAGTTGTTTGAACTTTGCTCTAGTGACAATATGACCCAATTGGAAGATTTTTAGGTAGAGGATAAGGTATCAGCAGTATCTAGAGAATTGATTGTGGAATGCACAGAGAACAGGGGGAAGCCGTACAGTCATTCCGGGAAAATGAGGTTTCCTTGGTCTCAGTGATACACCAGCTATGTGTGGATCTTATTTAACATCACTGCCGGAGCACCTGGTATTCCCAGTCCCCTCTGAAGATGGAGCCCACTGCACCTCTGGCTTATTATAGTGTACATATGAAGTTAATTACAGAATGTGGGAGTTGGGAGAGTTTTCAGGTATTTTGTTCAATCTCCTAATTCTAGACAGAAGAAGATAAAGAGAACGAAATCAAGCAACTTGCTTGGGGTTGTACAACGCTGACCCGAAATTCTTCACTGGCCTGGGTCTCTTTCCACACCTACATGTACCTACATATTTTGGTTACCACACTTAGCCTTCAGTGTGGAACTTTCTTGTGTTTGTTGACAGCTGAGATTTCTTGGGTGGAAACTTCTAATTTGGAAAAGTATCTGTCTCACACACATCATTCAAACCCCATAGAGTTTTCCATCATGTTAGAAACAAAGACCAATAGTGAGGTTAGCAGATAGATTTGCAGATGCTGCAAAGTTTGGGATGTTTCCGAAGAGGGGTCCCAAGTGGTTGGAAGCCCCTCCTTGGGCGAACCCCTCCCAAGCGGCACAGCACCCGGCGCTGGCGCCCTCCCTCGCCTCTGCCACCTGGATTCTCTATCTTTCTACTTCACGGAGGGACCTGTGCTCGTAAGGAAGACGCTGGGCTGTGGGACTCAGGCATGACGGGGTCCCAGCCCTCACCCCGAGAGAGGAGGCGGGCGCTTCGCCTGCATCTTGAACTTGACCTCCGCGCACCTCTTCACTTACACGGCGCACGAATTCTCTCCGGGGTGCCCACCGACCGCGCTGTTTCTATGAGCCCGAAAGGTGTCCCGCCTGTGGAGGCTTCTCCCGGCCCCGAGAGCGGCGGTGGAGAGGTTGCTGCCGCGGGCCTCGGCCAGAGGGCGCCGGGACCTGGGTGGGCGCTGCCGCTCGCCGCCGAGAAGAGGGCGGGGGCGGGGCGGCTCGCCCGTGCGGGTCCCAGCCTCCCGGTGTGGGAACCGGGGCGCGGCACGCGTTCCTAGGAGTTTCCCTCGGGCGCTCTCCGCTCCCGCCGCCCGCGTTCGCGCCCAGCGCCCCGAGCCCCGAGCCCCGAGCCCCGAGCCCCGAGCCGAGCGGCTCCTCCTTCCGCCTCCGTCCCCGTCTCCCGCAGCCCGCAGCCTCAGGGCAGAGTTCAAGTTCAGCCCCTGCTGGCGCTCCCGATTGAGGACAGGTCAGGGGGGCTGGAGGGCGCGGGTTTGCCCGGGAGGGCGCTGGGAGGCGGAGGGAGGTGGCCTCTGATTGGCCAGGGAGGGGGAGTGGAGGCACGGAGTTTCCCACAATGCTCCGGTGCGGTGCAGCCGCGGATGGATGCTGCGGGAAGGGGCTGCCATTTGCCGCCCCTGCCAGCGGAGCGCGGACCTGCTCGCTCTCTCGCAGCGGCGGCCGCTGCCAGCGCGCTCCGCCGGCCCGGCCTCTGCAGCGGAGCCGCCTCGCCTCCCTCCGCGGCCGGCAGGGCGGGCGCCATGAACCCCGGCTCCTCGGCGGGAGAGGAGCAGGGGGCGACGGGCGGCGGCGGAAGCGGCGCCGGGAGCGGCTGCCTGGGCGCCGAGGGCGGCGCGGACCCGCGGGGCGCGGGCGCAGCGGCGGCGGGGGCCGCTGCCCTGGAGGAGCCCGCGGCCGCCGGCGCGAAGGAGAAGGACGAGGCGCTGGAGGAGAAGCTGCGGAACTTAACTTTCCGGAAGCAGGTCTCTTACAGGTAGGCGCGGAGCCGGCGCGGGGACAGGTGCCTCCGGCGCCACCCGCGCTTCCCCTCGCAGGGCGCTGCCGCGGAGTGGGTCACCTGTGCGCGCGCTCTCTCTCTCTCTCTCTCTCTCTCTCTCTCTCTCTCTCTCTCTCACACTCTCCCCCCCCCCTCCCCACACACACACCTCTTTTCTGGAGAGGTGTTCTCTTGTCATCCCATCATGTTGGGCTGGAGGGAAGCTACTGCCCGTTCCCCCTGACAGGACGACGGGAGAGAAGACTGGGTCCCTGAGGTCAGAGCAACAGCACAATCGAGCGCGCGTGTGCGGGCGGGGGGTGCGCGCCCAGAGACGCCTGGTTTTCTGGCGAGAAATCCTCAAAGTTGTCCCTAAGCCCGGCGTCATCTTCACCCACTCGCCCGCCCTCCCGCAGTTTGCTGGGTGAACCTTTGGCACTAACTCGGTAGCTGAGCTCGCCCGAAGGGCAGGACAGGACAGGTCTACACTGAAGAGAAAGCCTCCTGGAGGTCGGACCCGCCTGGAAATGCCCAGGAAGGAAGAGGCGACGTGGACTGTGCTGTAGAGACACCGCTGGTTACGGGGTTACACGCACACGTGCTCTCTCCCTCTCTACTAGGTGTGCCCAGATGGACTACTTGGGGAGCCTTGTTGGCAAGCGAGGGGTGCGGCCGAGAGTGGGACAGTGCTTGCCCCGGAGGATGGATGTGTGTGTGAGACAAGGACGTTGTGGGGTAAATGGCCACCGCGTTATGATGAAAGAGTGCCCCACATTGTGTCGGATCCAGAAATGAGAAACGAGGACTCAGTAGGTTCTCTGTCCCCTCCCCTCCCCCTCTCCCCCCAGGCACCAGGCAGGAATAAAGATATGAGAGGTTTGGAGGGTTTCAGAGACTGCCCTTCCTGCTTATTCATTCCAAAAGCCAAGATGATAAGCACAGAATTTAAAAGATTTGTACTTGCTAGGGCTCAGAGGGTATCTTGAAATGGGGTCAGTGAAAGCAGCCTCCTGACCTTACTCCTTTGGAGGTAGAGTCCTTTCCAGAAACCCGGAGAAAGTGTTCAGCCTGGCACACCATGTGCTGTTATGTAAGCAAACGCAGATGATAGAGGCGTGTGGGTTTTCGCGGGTGTGTGTTGTATGGATGGGCTACGTGTGTGAATCACTGGGATCCCCGTTGGCATTGCCGGGCCTGGAGGCCCCGGTCCCTAGGGCATGGGCTCTGTGTCGAAGTGGTGGCTTCTGATGACTCTGAAACAATCTTCCTGGTGCGGTGGTTGCTCCCACGTCCCTTGAGTGCATTCCGTTCGTTGTGCATTGAGGTGGTTCCCACCTGACTTACTCTCTTAGCTACTCACATAGATCAGGACCAGATGGATCTTTCTCTTTCTAAAATTAGACGGGTCGTGGAGAGTGGAGTAGCTCTCTGGAGACCTGCTGGGGCACAGGCAGTTCTCCTTCCTAGTTATGGTGGCCTGTCTGGCCCTTAGGGAAGCAGGGGCTACATTCAGCCTATTTAGGAACCGAGGTTTTGGGGTGGACGGTGACGTGAAGTACATCATAAGTCTGGGCTCCTGTGATATTGGCTTCCATCTGACTCCTCACTGGGTAGGGCTACAAAGCCAGAGTTTGTCAGGGAAATCATTTCAGCTTGCCTCTTGGCCGGGGCCCTTCTCTCCTGGGAACTGGTCCTGTGCGGGGCCACAGCTTGCTGGGCCATGTGGTCACAGGTGCATGTGTGAGGGTGCACACACACAAACACGGACGTGGGCCCAGACCCGGAGGGATTGAATCCTCTGTAGAAAATAGGTCCTACTTTGTGAACATAATTTCCTTTTCAATAGGGCTGTCAGGTTTCCTATTCAGCAACCCGCTGGCAGCAGTGTCACCTCAGGTGGCTGGTTAACAATTCCCACCATCCAAGGCTTCCAAAACCCAAATCTCCGTGGGTGGGAATGTTTACCGGGCTCCTCTGGCAGTGTGTCAGTACACTAATATCTGAGTATTGCTGCCCTATCCCCCCCCCCCCGCCCCCCTCCCAAAAAAAAAGGCTAAGCAATTGATCTTTGAACTCATAAATCGTGCCCAGCCAAACAAGGCCAGGCAGTCCCCAAGTCAGGGGAAAGACTGCACAAAGGTAGGTGATTTCATCTGGCACATGGTTGTCCTGGATAACCTGGACAGTGTCCCATTTCCATTATTGTTACTATTTTTAGGGTCATGGTCAGTGGCCTGCCCACTCACCACGGCAGCCACTGTGTAGGCCTCAGAGGTGGCCGTGTGGGGTTGTTTCGCTGGTGGGGTAATGAATGGTCTGTAAGGAAAGAGCAGCTTCGGCTGGAGTTGGGCCCTGGCTCCTCAGGGAGGACTGCCACCTCCCTTCTGGGGCGCCTGAGGACAGCGACTGGTGGGAGAGAACGGAGGGCGTTAGCGAGACCTCCCGGAATGAAGTTTGAGCAAAAGGGTTCAGTGCGAGTGTGCAGCATGGCTGCTTGTGTAAGGGGGATCATGTAAGGTGGGGAAGAGGAGACCTGCAGGTAGCTCAAACACATTTTCTGGAGAACATGGGTATTTGTGGAATGACACTTGACAGGAAAGAAGGGGGCTTTGGGAGAGGGTGTGCGTGTGCATGTGGGTAGGGGGGGTCTCATCTGCTCCTTCTGTTGCTAAGAAACATATAATCTAGGGTTTAAAAATAAATGAGGAGTGGGTGGGCATATGCAGTGACTCCTGTCTTTTTAGGAACCAGAGCCCTTTACAAAGAGCCTTTAAATAAACGTTTCTGGAGGCAGATTATTCATTTTGCTTGACTTTTACTTTGTTAAGTAAAATAAACCCCTTTACACATACCCCTCGATTTTCCCTCATTATCTTTTCTTTCTTGGCTTTTTTTTTAGGAACCATTTTTTTTCCCATGAGAATTTTTCCTTTATTTCAGATTCTGCTCCCCTGGAGCAAATAGTCTCTGTAGACTGTAAAGCTGAAGGTTTAGAAGGCAGTGCAAGTGAGCTTGTCCTTTTTTCTTAAAATTACTACTTCCTTTTTCTTTGCAAATTATGGTGCTGCAACAGATACATACGTGTAGGATTTTTAAAAAACCACTCTAAGAATTCCCATGTATGTCAGTAATATTAAAAAAAATCGTTTAGCCCTAGCCGTTGTGGCTCAGTGGTTGAGTGTTGACCTATGAACCAGGAGGTCATGGGTGGATTCCTGGTCAGGGCACATGCTGGAGTTTTGGGCTTGATCCCCAGGAGGGGGCGTGCAGGAGGCAGCCAATCAATGATTCTCTCCCATCATTGATGCTTCTATCTCTCTCTCTCCCTTCTTCCCTGAAATTAGTAAAAATATATTTAAAAAAATCTTTTAGAGGCACACAGGGGCGGGGAAGGAGGGGTAACTGATGGTTATCATCCTCTGTGCACCAGGCACCTGTGTTAAGTGTTATCGTATAGTCTCTCTTATTTACTCTTCATGACAGTCCTATGCTATGCTTATGGTTGTTTCTGTTTTATAGAAAATGAGCCCGAGGCTTAGAGCTTGGGTAGGAGGCAGAGTTTAAACCCAGATTTGATGCTAAGTGACTTCGTTTTAAAACCACATCATGCTTCCCTAAACATTCACTTCTGGTTTGAACTCTCTCCATGTGTGTACTTGTGTATGTGCATTATAATCTACATGCTCTTCTGTAATATACTACAGGTGACTATATATAATATTTTGTATACTCTTTCGTCTGTGCCCCTTTGGCTATATAATAAATATTAAGGAACTCCTCTGCTACTTGAGAAATAAAAATGATGGTACATTCATGATCATCAGAAAATAGATTGGTTTTGCTTCTGAGAACAAAACCACCTACATGACACCTGCCACCTCTATGAAAATACCAGTCTTAGAGTTTTATCTCCCTTTTAGTAAAACTTACACAGGTGTTGTGTAGGTGACCCTAGATCTGGTGAAGAGCTGGCCTGTCCGAGTCTCCTGGCGCAGCGCAGAGGAAATGATGAAGCATGATTTTGTTTGAAGGAGGCTTGGGCAGTTACCATTACTTATGAGGTGTCGATGCCTGTGTGTCACTGTTTCTACTTATAAACCAGGGGTGGTGAGACCAGGCCCCCCTGCCCCCCCCCCTTCTTACGGGGAGTTTTTGGTACAAGATAAGAGTAGCAGCAAGGAGTATTAGACTTCTTAGGCGAGGCAGCTAGGGCTAAAAATGGTCTATTGTTTTTTATAGGGTGATGATGAGAGCATAGCATCTCCATTTGGTATTTTGTTCTGCAAAGCAAGTTTATGTGATTATAAGAAAGACAGTTGGGATGTTGAAAGCCAAGTAGGCTAGCATAGACATTGTTCTTCCTTGCAGGGAAATCACTAGTGTATAGGGAAGTTTTCTTCTGAATATAAGTATGCATCCTCCTTCTATGTAAATCAATTTTATTTATTTTATGTTTTCCTCTGACATTTAGACTTTAGGATCAGATGACAACCTTGGTTCTAATTTAATGTTTCCTTCCTCAATACTCACTTAGGGCTTGGCTAAGTGTAGACTTCCTTAATCAGGATACACACCAGGCAAGATTGCACTTGAACCACTGTCCAGAGTACTTAATCTGCTCTAATTGATCTGTTAGGAGGCTTGATTTTTACATGGAAGTTTGGCAGCCTTGGATCCTGTGGAATCAGGGGATCAAGAAGTTGAAGGGAGCTTTGCTGGCTTTCAGTTCTTCTGTGGCCACGGCAGCATTAGGCCAAACTAATTCAGACTACAGCTAGCTTTTTGGAACACTTCCCTTTCTAATCTGAGAAAATGAGGACTCCTAGTGAGGGCCCAGGCTGGCTGCACCATCCATGGCCTTCTGGGCTGGCATCTGCGATCCACATTCTCTGTTCAGCTCTGAGGTATCCTTGAAGTGGGCTTAGTCACTCACTCTGTGAGACAGGGAGCATCTGGAAGGACCATTGCCTACATGCTGGCTATGACATTTGCTTTCT